CCAAGATCATCTGAAACACTCATTTTGTGGTGCAGAGGGAAACAAATACTCCTTCCACAATTTTCCCCAGAAGACAACACTTGCTACTTTCCAGTCTTAAAATGATAAAAGTAATGTTTGCCTTAAAAGGATGAGTTTGAGGGTACTAAAAATACATCACATAGGCCACCAAACAATATCTTATTTATGTTAGTCTTATGGTTGGCTTTCATGAAAAGCCATAGTTTATGGGTCAGTTTTCCAAACTGACACATTTTAAGACTATAAACTACCCCTACATTAAAAAATGTTATGTGTACTTTGGGGAGAAATAATGTATATAACCTGATGCAATGGAAAACATAGCTTTCATCAATTATGATGCTGACTGGATTTTGTCTTCTTCAGCCATTGGGATTCAGGATGCCTAAGTAAAGCACTGTGCTTTGATGAGTCACATTTGTAGCACAATCGCTATACTCAACCCCACCTAATATACTGTAACACATTTTCCCCTCTGATCTGGCCATAATCATTTCACAAGAAAAAAAAGAACTGATTAAAAGGAAACAGGACAGACAGTGAGTAAGCCATGAACAACTGCCCAAAGAACTGTAAAAACCCTGGCAGATCATTTCCATGTGTTTCAATTAAAGTTGCCATGAGAGGTGGACAACGAGCAAGAAAGAATTGATAAAGTTATATCCATTCCCTCCTTTTTGTAAGTATAGTTAGAGCCAAAGAATAAAAAGTACAATTACTGGGGATCTTGCAAAGCATTCATACAGAAAAACATTTGGAATGTATCCAATGCAAACAGTCTGATTTATAATGCTATAAGCCAATCAGAGAATATTAAAAAAGCACTTTATATGTATTTTTAATATACACAGAAAAAAAGGCTAAGGGTATATAAATAGTTCTCTTTCAAAGATGGGATGACAGATTACATTTTTTCTCTTTCTTCTGTGTTAATTATATATTTGTTCTAGACAATTTAGAAATGACTTGTAATAAGGAAAAAAACAAATTTAGTATAAATGACTAGGCAGTTAAAATGTATAGATTAATGTGTGATAAATAACATTTACAGTTTTAGGAAAATTTTCTAATTATACTGAATTTTCCTACAGAATGATTTCCTCCATTAAGAAGTGTTTATAGGTTGAATTGTGTCCCACAAAAATCCCTATGTTGAAATCCTAATTCCTAATACCTCAGAATGGGACCTTATTTGGAAATAGGGTCACTGCAGATGTAATTAGTAAGATGAGATCACTGGGGTAAGCCTTAATCCAATATGACCTTACAAAAAGAGAAAATTTGGATAGAGAGACACACATACAAGGAGGATGCCTATAAAGGCAAAGGCAGTGATAAGGATGACACTTCTACAAGCCAAGGAACACCAAAAATGGTAAGCAAACCACCAAAAGCTTGGAGAGAGGAATGGAACAGATTCTCCCTCACAGTCTGCAGAAGGAACCAACCGTGTTGACACCTTGCTCTTGGACTCCTACTTCCAGAACTGTGAAACAGTCAATTTCTGTTGCCACCCAGTTTGTGATACTCTGTTACAGCAGCCCTAACAAACTAACACAAAAGGTTTCCAAGCATACCACAGGAAGACATTACACTCCGACCACACCCATTTTTCATAACTATCTGCCTTTTGGTAGACAGTGCTTGCAAAAATCAATCCTCCTTCCATATGCTCCTCTACCCCCCCACCCCCATGACTACAGTTAGGTAACACTACATAACTAAGTTTTCTCCAATCGAATATGAGAAGGGACATATGCCTCCAGGCCTAGGCCTTAAGACTGGGGCATACTTCCTCCATACTCTTGTTGTTTCTTACCAGCTCACATTTGGACATGGTGCTCACCCAAATCAACCACAAGGATGAGGTCCATTCCACAAGGATTGGAGAGCTACTTCTTAGAAGGAATCCAGGTCTTTAACTGACAGCATAGGATAGAGCCACCCATCAATGGGGAATATTCTCCTTACAATGTTATAAGAAAGTAAAAGAAATAACAGTTCTTTAAGCCACTAACCCATCATTGGGTTTCTCTGTTATAACAGGTTAGCCTTTTGCTCTAATAGAGTACCAGAGGAAATAAAACATTTCAAACACATGCAGTAAAACACTATGTAGAAACAAGGTAAATCTCTGAAACAATAAATGTGACTCTATAGGAGAACTTCAAGTGTAAACTAAATAACTACTATTACAGCTCCAAATCTGAAACAATGTATTTGATGACCTTAGTAGTTGTTAAATTACAATTTAAACCCTTTGTGTGAATCTACCAAATCTAATTCTTAAAGATTTTTTCTTGAAGATTTTTTATCTTTTAATTTGAAAAATTTTTGTGAGAATAATTAAATTTAGTATAAGCATATTGTCACGATTTAACATACATTTTAATGGTACAAAAAACTAACATATAAAAGTCTCACACTCCTCCTCCAATCTCCTCTCTAGGGAAAGCCAGTACAAAACTTAGAAATTAGAAAATACTAAGGGTGATCAAATTTTAAAGTCAACTCAAGAGAAGTTTTAATTTTGGTTTGTGATACACACCTACAGTCAAAACCAAAACATATTCTAATAATAACCATATAGAGCCTTCATATTTGCCTAACTCTGAGAAAACTATTTTCTCATAGATGCTAATGACCAGCAATGTGACCTATTTCTTGTTCTTCAATGCTTCCCAAAATGTCACTATGTGAAACTGGAATATGTGTGAAACTAGAAGAAAGTTCCTGGAGAACAATTCAATACTTCTCCATTACTTCATTCTACTACAGATGAACCATAATGTCTACTCCCGTCGGGTCAAAACACTGAAAATTACTAGAATTTGGAATGTTTGCCTTTTATTAAGTCACAGGTTTCTTTCCAGGGTGACTATCCAAATCTTGTATGGACACTTATCAGGAAGACACTCTACTGAATTAAAGAAAAAAATAAAGAGATGAAAACTATTCCCATTTAGTTATTCAGGGACTTCATTAACCTGTGACCACGAATGGAATCTATGATTTCAACTCATGGTTTGTTGGACGCACACATGTTACTGGATTCCAACATGTGTTTCTATTTAAACTGCTGGAATGTATATATGGCTCCACAAAGGGTGATAAATATTAGCAAATCTTCTAAGAATGAAGGTCCTTTATGACCAAATACACCATGTTTTGATTCAGTTTTTCAAATGTCTCAGTCACACAGAGCTGAACAATCTGCTTTTTACATCTATCCACAAGTTAAAGAACAATGAAATAAAATCCTTCCACAGATCACATCTATCTGTACATTCACGGCCAACCCAAGGCAGATCTGTGATTTCTGCTGTCTTCTTTTCTTCCCTCATGGCAAGCCAGCCTTAGGTAGAGGCAGGGGATTCTGAAATGCCCAGGTAATGATAAGTTGGGTATTAACCATCATCAGATAATGCCAAGTAAGGGGTTTCAGGTACAGTACAGAAACTTCAACAGATGAGCCTAAAGAAGGGTGGAAAACTGTGGTCTGACACATTCTATTTGGCCAGCATAGCATTTTTAAATTTTTAAATTTTAAGTCCCTTTAGGAAAGCCCCCCACTCAAATAAGATACTTCACAAGATATTATATCTCACCATGAACTAGGAACCGGAGACATCATGTGTGCAAGCCAAACGTCCGAAGTGTGAATGTCACAGGAATTCTTCCAACCCTGTTTAGCCTTCTTACATTTTGTTTCTTTGCTCAGAATGCCCTCCCAGCCCACCCAAGCCTACCTCTTCAGTTAACTACTGCTCTAAGTACTCAAGAAGTCCTTTCTTATCTCCTAAAGCCCCAGTCAAGTGCTTAACCCTCTCTGGCCCCAGACTCTCCTGCTATTTCTATGACTTTTCTGTCGGGCACCAGACTAATTCCTTCAGGGCAAGGACTATGCCTTGCTCATTTTAGTCTCTCCAGTGTGTGGAATACAGCAGGTGGTAAATAAATACTTTCAGAATGAAAAAATGGCAATACAAGTATCAGCTGAAAATATTTGCTTCCATATTCTTGGCAGAGAATGCAGAAAACGATGAAGCTGACAAAAAAGAAAAAATGTAGATCACACAGAGCAAAAAAATAAAGAGGCTGTAAAGGCCACATCTGCTTACACACAGGTGATTTCCAAAGGCTGATGACCCTCTACAGCATTATTTAACCTCATCTATAGTTGGAGCCCTGTATATTGTTGTTACACACATGCTTTCTGGATCCCAGGAGCCCTGTATATTTGTTGTTACACACATGCTTTCTGGATCCCAACAACAAAGACACAAATATAATAAACCCAAATAAATGAAAGAAGAACATGAACTTGAATCAATTTCTTTGAAAAGATAGGCATCTTCCCTTATACAAAACACTTATTTTAAAATAGAGCTGACTAGAAATAAACAAGTGCTAATCATAGTTCCTCATATTCATTTTTCAATCAGGTCCACTCCTATTTCCCTTTGCTATATATAACTAGCCAGACTAGCTTCAATGAAGTTCAGAACTCTCAGAGGACAGTCAGGGACACACTGGACATGGTCACCAATAGAGAGCAAGCAGGTCTAAAGGTGTATCTTTCATTGATTGTATTACCCCACCCATGGTCATGCTTACCGGAAATAAGGAAAGCTGTGAAGGATTCCTCTTCACATCCCAGGTCAGGTAAAGAAGGGTCAGGGGAAAAAGCAACAGGGGGTAGCAGTGAAAGAAGATAATCAGGACAGCATACCTGGCAGCCTTCGTGGACTCTTTGCCTCCAAGCAAAAATGTCATTAGAGTTGCTCAGGAGGAGCAAGAAGTCAGAATGGTTACTTCCCAAACAGCATCTCATCCTTTCTTTGCCCTGAGCATCTCCAGCTGTCTCATCAAAACCTATTCCCCTTCATATGGAAGGGGAGCTTTCAGGGGCCTGTAACCACTGAGACACAGTGACTTCTCCTTAATTATCACTAAGGCAGGAGTACAAAGCAACTTACCTTCTGAAAAAAGTCTTCCCCACTTTTGCCTTTTCCTTCAGCAGCAGCTGTAAATAAAAATGTATACATTTAAAATAGTTTCTTTTTTTCAACCTATGTATTCAAAAATCTCTCAAGTATCAAGTATGAGAATAAAAAAGTAATAAGCAAGATGCCATTCTTACTCTCCCAAAGCTCAGCACCTGCTTGAACAGGTCTCATCTAATGCAAAGTCACAAAAAAAAAAAAAAAAACACTAATTCAATCAAATACAAATCTTTAGATAATTTCACACTCTTTTTGTCTGACTCAGGTCTCTCTTCTCACACACAGATGAAAGTAATCTCATCCTTTCATAATTAAGGAACGACATGAACAAATGCAACTACCAATATAATCTACTATACTGCTCTAAGCACTTCCTATCTGCAACCAATCCCAGGCATGAGGTTGCCTTTTCAACTGGTGGTTCATCTCACAAGGTCTACACTCTTAGCTGTTTGTTCTATGCTTTCCAATGACTATATAATCTACCTGGGTTTCAGCTGCCATCATACTACTTTAATTCAGTCCTTAATTCACATTTATAAGAGAGAGACAAAACAACATGAGGATGAGGGGCACCTGGGTGGCTCAGTCATTAAGCGTCTGCCTTTGGCTCAGGTTATTTTCCCAGGGTCCTAGGATCGAGCCCCGCATCGGGCTCCCTGCTCAGCGGGAAGCCTGCTTCTCCCTCTCCCACTCCCCCTGCTTGTGTTCCTCTCTCGCTGTGTGTCTCTCTCTGTCAAAAAAATAGATAAAATCTTAAAAAAAAAAAAACATGAGGATGAAACAGTAATAATGAAGGTCACAGACAACAATAAAATTTCATGTGAGATTAAAAAGTCATTACATTTGAATAATCGTTTTTATATCTAAATAGCAACCTATAAATATAGGAGAAACCCAGGTCTCTACATTCAAAAGTCTTACAACTCTGTGAACCTTCTTTTTAATATGTGGAGAGGAGTAAGCAATTTGAATAAAAGGAGAGAGGGGACAAAAGCCAATAGCATCTTGCTTGCAAAAGCCTCAAACTGCATCTTTCAGAAGGCAAACACCAGGGGTGCCTGGGTGGCTTAGTCCGTTAAGCACCTGACTCTTGATTTTGGCTCAAGTCATGATATTAGAGTCGTGAGATCGAGCCCTTGTTGGGCTCTGCGCTAGGTGTAGAGCCTGCTTAAGACCCTCTCTCTCCCTCCTCCTCTCCCCTCCTCCTCCCTGACACCCACTCCCAATTCATGCTCTCTTTAAAAAAAAAAAAAAAAAAAAAAGGAAGACAAACACCAAACAGGTTTCAAATTCAGGTGCAGGGTGGACCAGTGGTTAACTGGAGAAGCCACCCCCTGGTCAAGACAAGGAAATGAGCCGGAGCAAGAACTCCTGGACAATGAAATCTGGAAGACCATGGTACCCCAAACACCTAATGGTCAATACTGTCAAGGGACACTGTGCGTACATGCATACACATGTGTGTATGTGTGTCCAGGACACTTATTAAAATTATTAAAGACTCTTGTATGTCAACTACACCTCAATTTAAAAAAATTATTAATGACCCAAGAAATGTGGCAGATCATTCTGTTAAGAAGTCTCAAAACTCAAATTCCCTCAAAGAAATATCAAGTATTAAAATTTAGACACCTTCTATAATCTTGTAAAAATGTGTATTTTTATCAACATGTTTTCATCCAAAAAAACAGAACACAGAGTACATATTTCTGTGATTTCCAAAGACAGTTTGAGGAAATGCATGAAAACAAGAGCTAGGGGCACCTGGGTGGCTCAGTCGGTTAAGTGTCTGCCTTCAGCTCAGGTCATGATCTCAGGGTCCTGGGATTGAGCCCCGAGCTGGGCTCCCTGCTCAATGGGAAACCTGCTTCTCCCTCTCCCCGTGTTTGTGCTCTCTCTTGCTCTCTCTCTCTCATAAAATCTTAGAGAAAAAAAAAGGAAAACAAGAGCTAAAAAGAAACAAAAAATTTAAAACTCTAATGGCAGGCTAAACAACAGCCACTCAAAGATGTTCATGTCCTAATTCCTGGAACCTATGAATATGTTACTTTATGTGGCAAAAGGAATTTTGCAGATGTGATTAAATTAAGGCTCTTGAGATAGGGAGACGATCCTGAATTACCCAGGTGGGCCCAATGTCATCACAAGGTCCTTGTAAGAGGGAAGCAGGAAGTTCAGAAGCCAAGAAGGTGATGTGACAACATAAGCAGAGGGAGAGCAGGACATATAACAAAGAAAGGAGAGGTCAGGGGAGAAAGATATTAGAGATGCTACACTGCTGGTTTTGAAGATGGACAAAGGGGGCCAACAAGCTAAGGAACACAGGTGGCCTCTAGAAGCTGGGAAAGGCAAGGAAATGGATTCTCCCCTGGAGCCTCTGGAGGGAGCATGGCCCTGCCAACACCCTGATATATGCCAATGAAACCCATTTCAGACTTTTGAATGCTGGAACTGTATGAATAAATTTATGTTGTAAACTATTATGCTTGTAATTTGTTACAGCAGCAAAAAACAAAACAAAAAAACATGCCAAAAAAAAACCCTAATACATAATGCCAATACCATTTTAACTTTACTTTCTGTACAAATACCATACCTCCAACAACATGAACTGAGCAAAGAAACTGAGCAAAGACATGTGAGCACCTGAGTCACACATTTCCACAAATAGGTTCCTGGAAGTTAACTCTACAAATTATGATTTTCACTCTCTAATTTGGAAATATGTCAATATTAAAACTTAAATAAAAAAAAAAAAAAAGGAAGGGCGCCTGGGTGGCTCAGTCAGTTAAACATCCGGCTCTTCATCTCAGCTCAGGCCTTGATCTTGGGGTCGTGAGCGCAGGCCCCACATTGGGTTTCACACTGGGCATGGAGACTACTTAAAAAATAAAAATAAATTAAAAAAAAAAACATAAAAAGCAAATTTGACCAAAAAAAAAAACAAAGCTTATACTTTCTAAATAAACTGGAAAATGTGGGTGATCCTAGCTAGAGGGGCTACCTAGGCAAGACAAAAGGTTTAGTGCCTAAACCTAATGACACAAAACTAGTAAGTGCCTTGGGGGCACTTCAACTCAGCCACCTCTTGGGCTTTCTCCTTATCTCTAAAGCAAAAAATTGTTTGAAGAGGCCCTACTCAATGACAAAACAGCTTGGTGATCAAAATTGCATAGTGTGGCACAACAATCTGAAAAAATTCCATTGACATTGAGGAAACTCTTCTTTTAAAAGAAACTTTAGAATCAAAGATATTTTCAAAGGCCTATCAAGCAAGACAGGACTATCAAGATGCCTTTCACCCACAGAGATCTCCTTCACAACTTAGAATTCATCATTTTAAATTTCATAATACAATTACATTTTATTATAGACATTTCCTTTAGGACACTTATTTTGCTCACCATAAACTCATTATGTCACAACCTTGAAATGCCCCTTCATTCCAAGTCCAACTAAACAGACTTCACAGAATGGCCTTTCAATCCCTGGATGAATAAAAAAAGGGGGAGAGGATTTTCCTTAAACTCAAATTATAATTAACTATGTTCCAGAAAAACATCTAAAATTTAAAAGAAAGGGGCACCTGGGTGGCTCAGTCGTTAAGCGTCTGCCTTTGTCTCAGGTCATGATCCCAGGGTCCTGGGACTGAGCCCCACATCGGGCTCCCGCTTCTCCCTCTCCCACTCCCCCTGCTTGTGTTCCCTCTCTCACTGTGTCTCTCTCTGTCAAATAAATAAATAAAATCTTTAAAATAAATAAAATAAAATAAAATTTTAAAAAACCTTCACCTTTAGTAACCTTGGGAGGTCAAGGGAAAGAGGAAGCAGGGATACTCACTAGCACCAAAAATACACCAAAATTCTTTGGCCTTTTTCTTTCTAAGTATTTACATATAAGAAACTCCAAATCTGAGCCTAATTTCCCCCTAAATCCTGAGTAGTGTCCATTCCTTAAGCCCACCAAGTACCCTAGTAAGAGACTCTGACCAGATACTTAGGGAGATCATTGTCTCAGGTACAAACCATGGTTAGTCCATGTCATGGGCGCTTTATAGTAACTATTCCTTATCTCATTCCCAGGTTGCTGGGTCTCCTGCCAGACTTTTACCGACCCTATCTATGCAAGCAAAGCTGTCAAGGCCATAGAGGCCAATTAAGGGAGAACAACATAACACCAAAAGTATTCTCTCAGCCACCTCAAATCTGCTCAAATCTGAGAACTCAATTCTCAAATAGTCCAAATTCCTCAGTATTAAAATATACACTCCTCTGAAGAAGTGAGAGATTGTGGGGAGGAGGTTTGCAGAATATTTAGTTCTCAATATAAACTCAGGTATTTAATAAGTTCATTTTATAGATGCAGGAAAGAATAGAAAGTTGACTCTTTCATTCCATGAATATCTAAGTCCTGCGCTGGTCAATCAAAATTGTCAAGGCCCTGACCTCATTCAACTTACGATCTTGGCCCATATATTCACAGCCACCCACTAGTAAGATAGAGCCAAAATCAAAATTTAATTTTAGCGACAACATCCCAAAGATCTTTTCATGGTCACAACCCCCACCAAACTAAACTTAATAGAAACTTAATTTAGCTATTTCTCCTTAGGACAATGTACTAAAAAGCTACTCATTTTACTCTTAATCCAACATTACAGCTGGGCAGCTCCTGCCAGGCCTGAAGAATAAAGGGTACTTTCAGGAAGATCATCAAAGAGTTGGATTTTAAAAAAAGAAAAAAACATGAGATATGATAATATCTAGACTCAATGGCTGTCTTTTCACTATGGTCGGCGGGGCAAATGTTGCCTGTGAAATGAGCCAAGCCATCCTGATGTCGAGGCATTCCTTGACCTTTGAAGTCTGACTATATTCTGTGGTGTAACAGTTCTTCAGTCTTCACATTCTTAAACACCGATACACCCTCATCTTTTTCATTCCACAGTACCATGAACACACACAAAATGATTTAGCAGGCTTTTTCTGTCTTTATAACATGACTTCTGCCTGATGTT